CTCCGGGTTGGGAAATACCTGGAGATTTTTTTTGTGTGTGGGGAGCTTGAGAACAGTGGGGTTTGGGGCGGGGAGGGACTTCAGTGGGGTATAACACCACAGAGTCCACCTTCCAAAGCAGCCATTTTCTCCAGGGGAACTGATTTCTGTCACATGATGGAGATCAGTTGTCATCCCAGGAGATCTCCAGCCACCACCTGGAGGTTGGCAGCCCTAAATTCAGGCCAAGTCTGCAGGACAGAAGCTTTTGCAAATCGGAAGCTCTTTACAATGCTCTAGAGGCACATTAACTCTCTGGGTCAGCATGAAACAAGCCTGGGGCCTTGTTTCTCCCTCCAGCCTGTGTGATGGTGTCTCCATGCATTTCCCCCTTTCTAATAATGGCTTTTCTTTCTTTAAAAAATTAATCCGTTAATTTCAAGTCCCTAAGGTCAGGTAATTACCCACTTTGCTGTAGGAATGTTGTGGCCTGCCTTGCCCGAGACAGACGCCGTCTTTCACTGCATCCCTGAATAGGCCATGGGAACTTGAAGAGGGTTTGTGAGAAAGACAGACTCAGATCCAAAAGCAGGGAAGGAACAGGAAACCCTTTCAACCTTCTGGTTAGAGAATGAATAACTGGGCAGAAGGGGCAGGGCTGGCCCCAGCATATTTTGCACCCTAGGCGAGGATCCCTTCTGGCGTCCCCCGTACGCCCCCCGTTCAGAGCCAGCGGGGGGCGCTTTTGGCACGGGGGTGGCTGCAGTTTGGTGCCCCTAATGGCTGGGGCGCTCTAGGCGAATGCCTAGTTCACCTAGTTCGCGAGCCGGCCCTGAGAAGGGGGAAATATGGATGGCGATGTATCATTCCCTGGTAGGGTTGCCAACCTCCAGGTGGTGGCTGGAGATCTCCTGGGATTACTACTGATCTCCGGGCAACAGAGAAAATGGCCGCTTGGGAAGGTGGGCTCTGTGGCATTATGCTCCACTTAAGTCCCCCCCTCCCTAAACCCCGCCCTCCTCAGGCTCCACCCCCAAACATCCAGGTATTTCCCAACCTGGAGCTGGCAACCCTGTTTCCTGGCTACGGTTCCCAGGTCCCCCCTGGCCACTGGCAGGGGATGAGGGAAGGTCGGGTTGCCAGATCCAGGTTGGGAAACTCCTGGAGATTTGGGGAAGGAGCCTGGGAGGACAGGGACCTCAGTGGGGTACAATGCCACAGAGTCCACCCTCCAAAGCATCCATCTTCTCCAGGGGAACTGATCTCTGTAGTCTGGCGGTGAGGTGTAATTCCAGGGGATCCCCAGCTCCCACCTGGAGGCTGGCATCCCTATATCCCTGCCCTGCCCCCTTCTCTGTTTGAAACTGCCTAATTACAGACGGGACAATTTTCGAGGTGTTATAAAATGAAAGTGTGGAAGAAATGTCAGAAGGCCCGGTCTTAAGAAACTGGGGTCCTCACAGTAATTCAGAGCCTTAGACCAGAAGGTGGAAATCTCACTGGAAACTGCACCCCCATGCTGATCACCCCCATTTCCCCTTGATGTGTAGGATTAGTTATATTTTGTCCTCATGTCATAAGGTTGCCAGCTTCAGGTATGGACATTTCTGGAGATTTGGGGGGGGAGGGTGGATTCTGGGGAGGGCAAGGTGTGAGGGAGGGGACAGGGAGGGTCTTCAGTGGGCCATAATGCCATTGAGTCCACCCTCCAAATCAGCCGTATTCTCCTGGGAAACTGATCTCTGTTGCTTGGAGAGCACTTATAATCCCAGGAGATCTCCACCCATCACCTGTGGGCTCCAGCCACAAATGGACCACAGTGACTCAACCAAGGTTGCAGCCCCCCAAAGTTCACTGTGAAAAAAATCGATTCAACTCCAATTACAGTCCACAAAGCTGAGCCAGTTTGGTGTCGTGGTTAAGTGTGCGGACTCTGATCTGGAAGAACTGGGTTTGATTCCCCACTCCTCCACTTGCACCTGCTGGATGACCTTGGGCAAGCCATAGTTCTGATAAGAGCTGTTCTTGAAAAAGAACAGTTCTCGAAAGAGCTCTCTCAGCCCCACCTACCTCACAGGGTGTCTGTTGTGGGGAGGGGAAGGGAAAGGAGTTTGTAAGCCGCTCTGAGACTGCTTGGGTAGTGAAGGACGGGGTATAAATCCAATCTCCTCTTCTCTTCTTCTTCTTCTTTTTTATTTCTTTATTTTACGTCATGCAGTGCTGCTGCTGCTCCCAACAATTGTCATGCGACTACAGATTTCCCAGGTAAACAATCTGTTTCCCTCAATGCTTCATCAGGTCGCTTTATACTTGGAGCCCATGCTCTACGTCTCCTACTCAGATTAGTCGCATGACAATTGTTGGGATTGTAAACCAGCCTGAGATGCAAAAGAAAAGGTGGGGTATGAATATCTTAATTTAAAAGAAAAAAAACACCTCAGGGATGCTATTTTAGGAAGCAGCCCCACGTCAAGTGTAATGGGCAGTTCAGCCTACAGTACATATCTGATTGGCATTGGGACATGTCCCTAATACTGCGGCTGCTACAGAGCTTGTTTATCTTGCCGTCTGATGTGAGCAGCACTCCAGAATCAGATAGTTTGGGTCGCTGAGGACAGCTCTGGCCATGGTGATCGTTTAAAATTCTGCTTTTTAAAAGAAATAAACAATGAGCTTTATTCCTGACTCTGTTGATGTGTTTCCATTGGCTGATTTCGAGCAGCCTCATTCTTTTGGAATTTTTGTTCCGAATTGTGTTTCAGTTGCCTCTATATCAAGTCAGGCTATAGATAAGAGGGGGGAAAGTAAATGAAGGCTGGTTGACCTGCTTGGCACAAGGAGGAAGCGGAGAGAGGAGCTGCCATGGGCACCAGAAGAGAAGCACCTGTCACTGCCAGGGCAGTCATGCCCACCTGCCCTGAAAGCTCAGAATATAAGCAGTGTGAGCTGGAATGGGCAGAAGAGCTTGAGAACCAGGTTGCTGAGGGCTTCATACATGGTCAGGGTCAGAAAAGTCACTTAGTGGAGGGGAAATATAAGCTTTAGCCTCTCCCCACCCGATGTTTTTGCGTTTGCAGTTTGCCCAGTGGAGCTGCTCTTGGACTTGGTTGCCAGCTCCAGGTCTGGAAATACCTGGAAATTTGAGGGTAGAGCATGGGAGAGTGGGGTTTAGGGAGGGCAGGGACCTTGGTAAGGTACGATGCCATAGAATATTTACTTATTTATTTATTCATTAGATTTGTACCCCGCCCTCCCCAACGGGCTCAGGGTGGCTACAACAGAGGCAATTGCCATAACAACAGTTAAAACAACATAAAAACAATCAGTAAACAGTATAAAACAATCATTAAGTAAAGTGCGGTGCTCTTGATGTTAAATTTTTCTTAATTCAAGATGAGTTCCATTCATCAACCTAACCTGACAACATACATTCTTCGGTTAACTAGGCGTCTGCCCAAGGCCGGCTCACCTCCACATAGAATCCACATAGAATTTTCTTCAGGAGCAGTGGAATAAATGTTTACAATAAATAAATAAGCAAGCTATGTAGTCTGGAGATCAGCTGTCATTTCAGAAGCTCGCCAGCCTCCACCTGGAGGTTGGCAACTCTACCTTGGCTCCATTGCTAAAATCATGTTACATGACATGGTGGCTACATGTAGGTTTTGCAACAGAGTCAAATCTCCTCTCTATTTGCTTTGGTCACAAGCAGAAAAGAGCCGGTATGTGTGCTGGAGGCGGAAAATTCACATTGCCCAACTGATGCCCAACTGAACACCAAAATCCTGGTGTTGTTTCCCAGCAGACATGAGGACTTCATAATGTGTAGATGGCAGGGACCTTGGTAAGGTACGATGCCATCGAATCCACATAGAATTTTCTCCAGGAGCAGTGGAATAAATGTTTACAATAAATAAATAAGCAAGCTATGTAGTCTGGAGTTCAGCTGTCATTTCAGAAGCTCGCCAGCCTCCACCTGGAGGTTGGCAACTCTTCCTTGGCTCCATTGCTAAAATCATGTCACATAACATGGTGGCTACATGTAGGTTTTGCAACAGAGCCAAATCTCCTCTCTATTTGCTTTGGTCACAAGCAGAAAAGAGCCGGTATGTGTGTTGGAGGCGGAAAACTCACATTGCCCAGCTGATGCCCAACTGAACACCAAAGTCCTGGTGTTGTTCCCCAGCAGACACGAGGACTTCATAATGTGTAGAGGAAGCTGCAGTAGTGAAGTCCCTGGATGGCCATTCTGTAGGTAGTCTTGGCCAAGGAGGGGCTGTGGCTCAGTAGAAGAGCATCTTCCTTGCATGTAGAAGGTCACAGGTTCAATCCCTGGCAGCTCCAGTGAAAAGTATCAGATAGAAACACATCAAGTGATGCGAAAGACCTCTACCTTGGACTCTGGAGAGCTGCAACCAATCAGAGTAGAAAATACCAACTCAGTCTAATCAGGTATTCAAGCTGTTTTTTCTCAGCCTTTCAGCTCCACGCTGATGTACCATACACCATTGTTATAATGATTATGAGAAAATAATGTCCATAAAGTGTTACATTATACCATAAAGGGTTTGGGGGGAGACATTTAAGCACTGAAAACAGTTCTCTATGTTTCAGACTCAGTCTAATCAGGTATTCAAGCTGTTTTTCCTCAGCCTTTCAGCTCCACGCTGATGTACCATAAAAAGGTAAAGGTTCCCTTCCTCGAAAGCCAGTCGAGTCCGATTCTAGGTTTGCCATGCTCATCTCTTCTCACGTGGCACACTCGGGTCTCAAACTGCTGAACTACCAACCTTCCACAGCCTGCAGTTCAGCATCTTAACCACTTGAGCCACCACAGCTCCTTGTTATAATGATTATAAGAAAATAATGTCCATAAAGTGTTACATTATTCTTATTCCTTGTTCAGGGGGAGACATTTAAGCACTGAAAACATTTCTCTGTTCAGGGACTGTTTTCTGTTTCACTGGTTTTTGTTGTTTTGAGGTCGTAGTTTCTTTTTTTCCTCCATTTTGTCTCTGCAGACCTTCTCCTGAGGAAGCTTGGCAGTGGCGTAACTCTCTGGAAAAACTCCTTCAAAACCCTTGTAAGTCTGCTATGAAACTCTCCTGCTTAGCATTCATCCCAGTAATGTTAGAAGAGTTGCAGGCTAAACCACTAACACAACCTAACACACAAGTGCCAGCACATTCTGTAGTCACCTGATCACCATTTGGTCTGAAACGGGCAACACACGCATTTTCAGCCTGGAGACACGTACATCAGAATCCAGCTTTCTGGTTTGTATTCTGGTTTGCAGGTACTGAAGCTGCAATTATGCATGTTGTCATTTCAGGCTGAATGGTGATTGCATGCATCCCAGAGCATTGCATGTAGCATGTTCTCTCCATATGCATGGTAAACATAATGACTGAAAAGGGCTGATACTGCAAACTAAAAGTGGTTTAACAGTCATTGGGTTTTGGACAGTGTGTGTGTGTGTGTGTGTGAGTGATGAACACACACATGAAGTTGCCTTATACGGAATCAGACCCTTGGTCCATCAAAGTCAATATTGTCTACTCAGACTGGCAGCAGCTCTCCAGGGTTTCAGGCAGAGATCTTTCACACCACCTTTTAACTGAAGATGCCGGGGATTGAAACTGGGACCTTTTGCATGCCAAGCAGATGCTCTGCCACTGAGCCACTGCACTTCCAGTTTGAGAGCCAGTTTGGTGTAGTGGTTAGGAGCATCTGGGAGAACTAGGTTGGATTCCCCACTTCCCCACACGCAGCTGCTGGTGTGACCTTGGGTGAGTCTTAAGTTCTTTCAGAGCTGTTCTCTCAAGAGCAGTTCTCAAAAGAGCTCTCTCAGCCCCACCTACCTCACAGGGTGTCTGTTGTGGGGACGGGAAGGGAAAGGAGATTGTAAATCACTCTGAGACTCCTTTGGGTAGTGAAGGGTGTGGTATAAATCCAGTCTCTCTTCTCTTCTTTTTCTCTTCTCCCATGTCATGCTGAAATAGCACAGTGGAGGGGGGGGTAGTGTGAGCCTCTGCTTCCATCACATGGCATCAGCTGGACCCTAAGTGGTGTGAATGCCCAGTCACCTGAAGTCATGTGATTCTGCTTTTTAAGCAGGAGAACTCTAACAAACCAGACATCCCACATAATCGGGTTCTCATGAGGAGGGCCGGTTGATAGCAGAAACTGTGTGGAGGGGAATGTCTTGCATCATTGTTCCACTATTCCATTTTTAAGTTTCCCTGGTTGAATGTTTGTATTGGGTCATTCTTCTTAGGGAACCCTGTGAAACGTAGTTCTGTTGGGGGGGAGTTGGATTAGGAATTACTAATTTATGAGCACATGAAGCTGCCTTATACAGAGTTGAGCCTTTGGTCTGTCTGAGTTCCCATTGCCTATTCTGACTGACAGTGGCTCTCCAGGAATGGCCTTTTGACATCACTTGCTAGCTGCTCGGTTTTTTTTAGAAATGTGTGAATTGAACCTGTTACTTTCTACATATAAAGCAGATGCTCTAACACTGACCTGCAGTCCTTCCTCAGTCAGGGAGAACTTGCTAAGGACACGAAGTGGCACCTCAGGGCGTCCATACTTTGCATCAGCTGCCACAAAGCGCCTCCTCAAACAACAAAGGCTGCTCTAAAGGAAGCCATTATACTCAGGACCAAAGCCAGACATGGTATCTGCCACAAGTCAGTTTGGATTTCCCCAGCTTGTCTTATGGACGGTTGTGACATTAGGAATGTGTGTTCCCGAGTGCACTGGGGCCCGATTCAGCCTGGCATGGGGGAAGAGGGACTTCAGGCTCCCCTTGTGCTGTTTTCTGGAGCCAAAATGGCTGTGAGGGGCTGTGCTACAGTGGGGCAAATAGGCTCCTATTGTGTAGTGGGTTGCCGCATGGATGAACGATAGAGACTGGCGTAGTGCATAGCACGCTTTATTAGTACACAACAAGAAGAAGCAACAACGGCCGGCAGGCCAACTATATACACACCCTGGGGACACACTCCTGGGTCCCATTGGTGGGTTTGAATCTCCCACCACGGTCCCATTGGTTCCCCAGTGGAGGGTTCAAGCTCAGGAGTGTGCGCTGGCCTCTAGTGGCGGTCAACGGACACAACAGCTCCCCTGTGGTCTTGTTGTCTCAGGAAAACAGCACAGGTGGGAAGCCTGAAGCCTCTCTTCCTCGTGCCATGGCCTTGAGCTGAATCAGGCCCCAGTGCACTTGGAAACTGTAGTTCCCCAGTGTCACACCACTCTCTAAAACAGGTTGGGGATTTGTGGCAGGTGTCACGTCTAGTTTGGCCTTTAAAGCGATGGTTATAATATCAACATTGGCCAACAGAGCAAGCCAATCCAACCTTTCTGAGATGATCGTTTCAGAGGATGGACGTGTTGGTCTGCAGTTGACTCAGGAGCTCTCCGTTTCTACTCGTGTCTGACGAAAGGAGCTTTGACTCTCAAAAGCTCATAGTCTGAAAATCTTGTTCATCTCGAAGGTGCTCCTGGACTGGAACCGAGCCTTTTGAGAGAAGGTTTCCTATAGTACTTTAACACACATTCCAGATCCAAAATATCTCTTGGGGTCTTTTCTCTCCTTCACAGAAAAAGAATAAACCAACAAGTGAACAAATCTTTCTAAGGGTCATTCTCACACAATTTAGTTACAGAGCAAGAATTAAGCAGTTGAGTTTGAACCTTCCAGCATGTTAGAATGAGCCAAGCTGCTTCAAGTCCCCCTTGGGGAGAACAGTGGGGTACAAATGAATGAATTAATTAAATAAACAGAAAGCTGAGGAGATTTATTTTTGCTTAAGGTCAAACAGCACATCCCAAAGTTACACAAGTTTGCCATGGGGACTAGCAGCCCTAATGCAGCTGTGAGTTCCCACTGGAGAAGCACCAGATGGGCCCAGGGGTTTTTTTGTAGAAAAAGCCCAGCAGGAACTCATTAGCATAATAGGCTATATCCAATAGCAGGAACTCATTAGCATATTAGGCCACACCCCGACAGCACAGCTCATTAGCACATTAGGCCACACCCCATGTTACCAGAAGTGTGGTCATCCAGCCACACCCACCTTTTACTTCTTATTCTGTTTACCTTGTTTGTTGACAAAACTCAGGGCTTTTTTTTGGAGCAGGAACTCCTTTGCATGTTAGGCCACACGCCCCTAATTGTAGCCAATCCTAATGAGTTTCTGTTGTTGGGTGTGGCCTGCTGGGCGTGGCCAACTTGGGAGCCAGCTGGAACTCCGTTCCTGTGCGTTCCTGTCCAAAAATAGCCCTGGATGGGCCCAATTCTGACTAGAAACATGGCATTGAGGGAGGAGGATCCCCTGCTTTCTGGCTGTGCCACTAGCAGCCCTAATGCAGCTGTGAGTTCCCCCTGGACAATTTTTTTCCTGAACCAAAATGGCACTGGGGGTGTTTATTGCCCCACTGGAGGGGCTGCATGTGCACTGAATGCTTGCATGTTGTTATAGAGGCACAAGAAGTGCAAGCTGCGGTATCATTCTAGTAGGAAAACAGTAGTGCCATTCCTTCTTATTAAGATCAACTGGGAGTCACATGTGTATGAGTTTCACAGAATTCTTATGAATAAAGGGCATTCTTCTTCATGTGCGATGCGACAGTCATGATGGCGTTTCAGGATTCTCTTTGTAGACCAAATTAATTTGTGTCCAGTGCAAAATATTTCAGGTTGCACCAAGCCCATACCAGGACAAAGAAGAAGTGGCCAACCTCTCTTTGAAATTGTAAAGCCAGAAATTACTGTTGTTGTGTAAAACGCAGAAAGCCAGTCCAGTATTTTATGACCTTTTATTGGCTCTTAGGAAATAGATTATATTGTTGCCATTGTTTGGATTCTTTCTTCTGTATGGCTCTGAGCTACGCTGCATTGTGTGTGCTGGAGGACAAAGCATCCTCTAATCTGATGGGACCGTGGACAACCAGTGATTTAAAGCGGCGAACTTTCATTTTCTCTGCAGATGGACTTGCCAGCTTCCGGAACTTTCTCCTGTCTGAGTTCAGCGAGGAGAACATTGAGTTCTGGATCGCTTGTGAAGATTATAAGAAAATCAAATTACCTGCCAAAATGGCTGAGAAAGCCAAGAAAATCTATGAGGAGTTTATCCAAAGTGAGGCTCCTAAAGAGGTCAGTGGGTAGCGATGAAAGGGAAAGCACACATTGGCTGTTGAAGGCAACACACAAGCCAGTTTCATGGACTATTACATCCCCTAGCTCTGCAGAGCTCCAGCATACCCACTGTGTGCCAAAGAGGCAAGGGCTCCTTCACGCAAGGGAAAATCCTTATACACAAATAGGGTTGCCAATCTCCAGATGGAGCCAATAGTAGGTGCCCTCAGAGTGCGCACCGAGGCAGGGCTTACTCTCTGTTTTTATAGGAATTCGAGGGGTGGTCTCCCGCGCCAGGACTTGATGGGTTTAATGACTGGTGATGGCCTTAGTAGGGTACTTTGAATGGATTCCCAGGCTTAGACAAAAGGGGGACATGGGTCTCTGATAGGTGTCAGCAGGGCTCTTTTTGTAGAAAAAGCCCAGCAGGAGCTCATTAGCATAATAGGCCACACCCAACATCAGACACTCATTAGCATATTAGGCCACACCCCGACAGCACAGCTCATTAGCACATTAGGCCGCACCCCCATGTTACCAGAAGTGTGGTCATCCCGCCACACCCACCTTTTGCTTGTTATTTTATTTACCTTGTTTGTTGTCAAAACCCAGGGCTTTTTTGTAGCAGGAACTCCTTTGCATGTTAGGCCACACACCCCTAATGTAGCCAATCCTAATGAGTTTCTGCTGTTGGGTGTGGCCTGTTATGCTAATGAGTTCCTGCTGGGCGTGGCCAACTCGGGAGCCAGCCGGAACTCCGCTCCTGTGCGTTCCTGCCCAAAAATAGCCCTGGGTGTCAGGAAGAATCAGTAATTAATTTAGTGTTCAATCAATTTGTCTCGGTATCCTGAGGGAGGAGGCAGGAAGGGCAGGTGTTGAGACAAAACATTTCCACATAGACATCGGTATTACACAAAGGGGATTATGTGAGGGTATGGAGACAGAGAAGGTTCACCAGACATCTACTGACTGGCTTTGGAAATGCAGATACTTTACCTGAAGGAACTCGCTGTCAGTCCATGTGCATACCTTTGCTGGGTGGAGGGGGGGATTGGACATTGCCCTTGAAGGTGCCTTGTGCAACCTTAGACTGAAACCCTTTGCTGAGCTTTGGCCAGCTCTTTAGCACAGGCCAAGACTGTTCTCTTTGGCTTGGTTCTATGAGTCTCTGATTCAGGTCAGAAGTGGGTACCCCGCTGTTGAGGCTACCCCATGAGTAAGGCAGCGGCACCTCTGAGCTACAGTCATTGCTACCAGTTAAAAATTTGTTCTACTATAAGAGACACATGGGCATCCTCTCATGAGGGACTATGGCAAATGTGAGTCTCACAGGTGTAATTTTTGCTTCCCTCTTAACCAGGTGAACATTGACCATTTCACCAAATCCGTGACTATGAAGAACTTGGTGGAGCCCTCTGTGGGCACCTTTGACCTGGCCCAGAAGAGAATCTTCATGCTGATGGAGAAGGATTCCCTGCCCAGATACGTGCGCTCAAATATATATCAAGAGTTAATCAAGTAGCAATGCTGCAGAGCTGTGCGAGACACTGGCACTCCCACCTCTACGCAGGGTCCTTTGCTTACTCCAAATAACCAGTTTTGTTTCCGTTTTTTATCTTGGTAGTTGCTCTTGCTTTATGTATATATATATATATTGCAGCTGATAAAAGTTGAAAGAGCTGTGTTGTTAAAAGTCCCACCTTCACTGTTTCGGTCCATTTCCCACTCTAGATAATTCCCTTTTAATGTTTCCTCTCTGTTCCTGCTCCCCCACGTTCATTAGCACAGGCCTGTACAACTTAGGGATGCCAGCCTCCAGGTGGGACCTGGGGATCCCCCAGAATTACAGCTCCTCTCCAGGCAACAGAGAAGAAGAAGAGAAAAGATTGGATTTATACCCTGCCCTTCACTACCCAATGGTATCTCAGAGCGGCTTACAAACTCCTTTCCCTTCCCCTCCCCACAACAGACACCTTGTAGGTGGGGCTGAGAGAGCTCTTGACAGGAACTGCTCTTTTTCAAGGACAGCTCTTGTCAGAACTATGGCTTGCCCAAGGCCATCCAGCCAGGTGCAAGTGGAGGAGTGAGGAACCAAACCCGGTTCTCCCCGATTAGAGTCCACGCACTTAACCACTACACCAAACTGGCTCAGTTCCCCTGGAGATAATGGATACCTTGGAGGGTGGACTCTATGGCATTGTACCTCACTGAGGTCTCCGTTCTCCTCAGGCTCCATCCCCAAATCTCCAGCAGTTTTCAGACCTGGCAACTCTACCCCCAGCAGTGGCTGGGGGGGACCTGGCAACCCTAATTTATAACTAGTAGTTCCAAATACAGCCTACCAGTCATATGTTGTAAGCTGCTGGGACATTAGAGTGGACCAGGCCAGGAAGCTCCACGGGGGCTGCTCAACTCAGACATGGCCAACAGCACTGGCAAATGTTTGTGATGCTGTTGCTGCCGGTCATCTCCGAGCCCAGGCAACCCTGCAGGGCTTTCAGTACCGCTGGCGTTCAGCTCGCTCCTGGCCATCTGCAGGCCAGCGGCCCACCAAGAGGTTTCGTAGAAAGTTTGAGAGCCACTTTACCGACCCCCCCCCCCCGGTGTGCACTCAAGAAATGCCTTGTTTTGATCTTTCCAAGCAGGGAGTAGGTTTGCCAACTCTGGCTTGAGAAATTCTTGAAGATTGGTGGCGCCTGTAGGGACAGAGTCTGGGGAAGGGAGGGAGCTCAATATGGTTGTGATGCCGCCGGGTCTGCCCCCTGAAGCCGCCATTTCCTCTGGGGGCTGGAGATCAGTTCTAATTCCATGAGAACTTAGTGTTGCCAACTCCAGGTTTGGGAATACTTGGAGATTTGAGGGTGGAACCTGGGAGAGTGGTGTTTAGGGTGGCGAGGGACACTGGTAGTGTATAATGCCATGCAGTCCACTTTCCAAAGCAGGCATTTTTTCCAGGAGAAGTCAAATAAATGTTTTAAATAAGTGATTTATGCAGCGTGGAGATCGATTGTAATTCCAGGAGATCTCCAGTCTCCACCTGGAGGCTGGCAGCCCTCACAGGAAGCAGAACCAAAGGGTTTGTTGAGCTCCCCTTGATGTGTTCAGCCAGCAGTGCAACCCTATACAGAATTATGTCCTTCTAAGCTCATTGATTTGAATGGACATAGAAGGGTGCAACTCTGCTTTGGACTGTGCTGTTAGTGGGGCCACCAGTTGTGCAGGCCTGTCGTGCTGTCAAGAGGGTGAAAGAGAGTTTCATCTATTCAGGCAGTGGCTGACGTTTCTCCAGCATGTAGTGGTGGAGTTAAGGGAAGGGGGATGTGCAAGTGATACCCTTCTCTGAATAAGAGTTACTAAAATGCTCCCATTTGGTGACAGAGAACGGGAGAAGAATAAGTCAAACATCTGTGCCCCAACGGTGTGACTTGTTTAGCAACCCAGCCACATTATCTGCTTTTGTTTCCTGCATTAGATGTATCGAGGTGATAATTTCCCTGAAGGCCCTGCATAGCCTCCAGTGTCTACGCACAGCCTCATGTAATGCACCCCGTGTTCTGTTTCTCAGTTGTGATCAGAATCCTTGCGGTGTGACGTCTTGACGTATTTCCCTCTCTCTATAGCAGTCTTGCCAAACTGACATTTTCTGCCCAAATCTTCCATCCCGTGATACAAATGTTATTGGAATACAATTAACGCCATCGTCTAGGAATTCTCCCCCTGTGTGAACTGCACTGAAATGGATGGGGAATATACATGCGAACTGATGGAGATAATGGATCTAAATTCCAGAAGAGATTTCAGTGCAAATGGAACAATCGTCACATAGCATTTCTCTCCCCAGCTTTCTCTGTGCATGTAGCGGGATATTCTGAATAGCACTGATCAGTTACTCAACAAGGGAAACCATCACTAACAACACAATCCTAAACACAGTAATGCCGTTCAAAGGCCACTGACTTCAGTGAATTTAGAATGGTGTAATTCTGTTTAGGATTGCACTGCAAATACAATCCCCGGTTTCTTGTCCCAAGCAGTCAAATTGTACAGTCATGCCATATGCACATACTTCTGTCTGGTGGATTCTGCTGACAGGGAATTGTACATGTAGCACCTCTTTGGGTGCACTTGATGCATATCGCGATAAGTCCATTATCTTGCAATGTTTTGGATTTTCCATAACATTCCGCACATCTTTCGTCTATTGAGTTACTTCAGATGCAAAGAAGATTGAGCTATGGAGTGTACTTCTAAGCTTTCATTTTTAAAAAATGAACGTTTTCAATGTAAAATTATTTCTTTTCTGCTTTCCAAATCTGTAATAGCTGGGCAATTGATAAGATGACAAAATGAGCCCAAAACTGAAACGCATTAAAACTGCAAACACTGGTTGCCAAAACCCTTTCAAATTCAGGATGAAAAGAAAATACAAACTCTGGCTGGTTTATTTTTCTTACACATTTGGTTTATTTGAATCAAGTTTAATCTATGCTTAAAGATATTTACTTAGTGGCCCCATTGGCTACACCCTGTGGAGTCTGAAGGGACTAGAACCAAGTTCTATTTTGAGTTACGAAAAGAGCCATTTCCCACCAAGAGGACTTGGAGCTCTCACAGGTTCAGGCCAGTTTGAGCTATAGGGCTTAATATGGCTTATCTCCACTGAGCCTTTGGTTTCAGTGCCACTGAGCGTTTGGTTTCAGTGCCACTTTCAAGTTGACAGGTGCCCCATGCCACACAACTTTTAACGATGTTTTTATTTGATAATTCTCACAGTCAGGTTGGTCCCCCCTCCTTTAAGCACAGGTAGTACCATGTTCTCCTTCACTAAATTGGGTCCCATGCAAGAGGATGTCCCGAGAGATCATGCCCAAACCCTTCTGTATAGGGCTGTGAATGTTGGCACCTTCTTTTCCTCAGAGTCTCCAGGAGAAGTGAAATCTTAGGGTGAAGGCTTGAGATCAAGGGAGAGGCTTGGATTTCCCCCATTCGCTTGAGAACTTTGGCTGTTCACCCTGCTCCATGGTCCATGACACTCCACTTCAGAATCAACATGCCCATCAGGTTCAACCAAATACATCTTTCCAATAACTATTCAATCCCTTTTTTACAGGCAAGGTGAACTAAATGTGAACGATACCATGTTGTTGCATCAGAGGTCATTTCGGGGGGGGGATCGCGGGGGATCGCAGTTCCCCCGGGTGAGGTACGGGGGGCGGGGCAC